ATTAGAAGAGATTTCCAGGGAGAGAGGAACTCTGGGAAGAAGAGAAGTGGAAGATGCCATTGAGACACTGAGGAAGTCAGATGTACAGAATGAAGGAGCTAGAAAACCATGTGGCAGAATTTAGGGTACAGAAACAGGACAATTAAGTTTTAAGAGCGAATTAGGAACACACCTAAGCGAAAAGTCAAGCATTAGTAATTAATAAAGTTTCTGCGTCATTATTTGGGAAATGGCAGTTTCAGGGATTCCAACAAAAAAAGACCTGCTATAGTCCGCTGTCTTTGCAACCTTTCTGTTGTATGGGTTTGGAGTATTTCTCATTATCTTCACATTTAGTTCCAATGTTTGTATTTGTAAGGAGGGTACTGACATCTAATGCATAGCCCAGAATGTTTATTATATATAGGCACTATTTTCACACAAGTATGCCCAACTGTCAACGATCTGGATTGGACATACAGTTGACATATAAAATTTGAATTTAGTCACCAGTCATTGCCTTGACTCAGAGTAATCATTGATTTCTGTTGGAGTAGCTAAAATATGGTCTTGATTTTCATGCAAATTCTTATGGTAAGTATGGTCTGGACATGGTCTGCTACGGTATGTTGTCAGCTCTAAAGAATCTATAATCACTTGGGTTAACAGTTTTTCTGGATGTCTATTGGAGATTAACCTGATTACAGTAACTGTTGGGCAAAGACTCATCACAATTATGGATGGGACAATTTGCTAAGCCAGGAATTCTCAAGAAAGGGAACTAAGTAGCAGCAGGCCCTGTGGCTTTTTGTTCATTCTCTGTGCTACTAGCTGCTTTGAGATCGTGCTGCCCTGACTGGCTATATTGAATTCCATTAAGCTACTGTTAGGATATTCCTTAATAAGTACTTGGGATAGTGTATAGGTCATTTTGCAGTGTTCTTCAGTGACTCAGGCCAGATCAGCTTGTGGTAGTTTTCACAAGTCTTCTGTCATTTTCGACTTAATGACATCAAAAAGAAATCTGTATTTACCTTACCTTGTTGTAGCTAGCTTTTGCTTTATGTTCTGAAGGTAAAGATGTGTACCATGAAATGCCCTTCAATTCATTGATCTTTTTTTATTCACAACTTCCAAATACACTTCAGAAGCTAACTCACTTTTTTCTTCAGATTTCTCTTCCCTCTTACTTAGAACCCATTTCCATACAGTTTAGCAGACAGGCACAACTTTTCATTAACTGGGGTATTTGCATCACTACCAATACTGTTTGGCTTTACCTATAATACGTTTCTTTGCAGTACTTCTTTTCAGAGTATGCAGGATTACCTTTCTCATCCACAGGTTCATTACCTTTTGATTCCATTTCGAGGCCGATTTGGGGCTCAGTATAAATTCAAGATGAGCTGGATCACAGTACCATACAGCCAAAGTACAAAGCTTGCAAAAACATATTTCAGCTTCTCCCTTCCTCAATGGCATGCTGCATATTTTAGTAGTACATATGAGATCCACCACATATTATGCTTGCTAAACATTAAGTATATTCATATTGTCTTACGCCATGAAAACTCAATGACAAGAGTATTTTTTTTCATAGACCTAGTGGTGAATTCTTTTAGCTCTTTAATAGTAGGTTAGTACCACATCTATACTGTATTTTAAGTTGCACACTTGGCTTGCCTTGCATCTGCTCAGCTATTATCCTCTTTAAAGACCATCTTTCTCTATTGCTGGCTTCATTACACTTTTATTATTCCATTAGCAACACTGGGTTTTATCTATTACTAATTTGTTCAGTAGCTTGGGAGCACTTATCCTGGTATCTTTCATTGTCTTACAAAGTCACATATAGCAACTACTGTATTTGCAGGCAGCAGGGTCCAAACTCCTGATAACACACACATCAGGCAAGGCTTCTTTGAAGCAGTCTCCTAACTCCACTGCTATAGGTCCCACTCACACCATTTGACAGTTCTTCCACCTACTTTCCTTTCCATTGGAAAGCGAGACACATCAATGGACACATAGGCCAACCTGAAAGAACTCTCAATGACCAAATATAAAACAAGTGACAAGATGAGCACATGGAAAGGCTGAATAACACCTCCAACAAGAGGTACATTTTGCCATTTCTTTACTGGTTAAGTACACTTATTTAAGAATGCTAAGGGAAAGGATCAAAATGCCCTAACTAAATGCCGAGGTTAACATTCCCAGGGAATGTAGGCTTCATAGATCAGAAGGGGATGCCTTCCCTCTGGTGTTCTTTTAAACCTAACGCCCTAGTCCATAGGGAGAAAAAAACAAGCCTAACCCAGTGGGAGTAGGAAATAGTTATATGTGGTGGTTTGAATAAAAATGGCCCCCACAGATTTACAGGGAATGGAATTATTGGAGCCATAACCTTGTTGGAATTGTCATCAGGAGCATGGGTTTTGAGATTTCAGCCACTCAAGTCAGGCCTAGTTACCTGAGGATTCATTCATATGTAGAACTCTTGGCTTCTTCTCCAGCACCATATCTGCCCCCATACTGCCATGCTCCCTAACACGATGACAATGGATTAAACCTCTTAATTATAAGACAGCCCCAAGTAAATGTTTTCACTTTTAAGAGTTGTAGTCATGGTGTTTCTTCACAGCACTAGAAATCCTAAGACAGTATGACCTGGGCAGAATCTCATCAATGACAAACTACCAGCTAGAGAATAAGAAGGTCATATAATTGCAATTGTGAAGCTGTGGCAGGAGCACACGGAGCCTGTCTGGCCACATAGCAACTGTCTTCAAAAAACAAAGCCAGGATTTCATGGAAGCCCAGGGTGCACTGGCTCGTTTTTCTTGTCAACTTGATATAATATAGTGTCACCTGGTAAGAGGTCACCTCAATTGAAGAACTGCCAGATCTGTATTGCCTATGGTCATGTCTATGAGAGACAACTTCAGTTGATGACTGATGTGAAGGGCCCAGACCACTAGGGATGGCACTATCTCTGAGCAAGCAGACCTAGGGTATATAAGAAAGCTAGCTGAGCATAGGGCCAGTGGGTAGACCGTTAGCAAGCAATTCTGCCTTCGGGTTACTGCCCTCTCTCCTAAGTTGCTTTTGTTCAGAATGTTTTATCACAGCAACTGAGATTAAACTAAAATTGGGAGCCATTTTTCTTCAGCAAGGTAGTTGTTGGTAGGCTGAACCATGCTCATGCAACAGTGACTGGACTGTGGGTTATTATTTTAGGAGAAGGTGGGAGGGGATCAGGTTAGTAGGGTTCCAGGGACTCGTGGGTGGATGTGGTCAAAATCCTTTCATATATGTATGAAAACTGCTAAATAAAAAATAAAAAAAAATAAAAGAGAAAGCAAACAAAAGATATAACTCACTTATTTCTTAGTCCTAACAAACATTATCAGGAAGTATTGGAAATGGGAAAGTAGCTTATGTATATAATCTTTGCAACTTTTCTATGAACGCAGTTATCCCAAAAATGCCTACTTACTTAAAGCTTCTTTACCAAGTTATTATCCTAAAAATATGTGAACAGTTGGTTTACTAATTGTAGATGTTAATTTGTTTTTTATAAGAAATAATACTGAAATTTGTCATTAGACTTGGCTCTTCTGGTTCCCGCAAACAAGTTTTTAATTGCATTGTGTTTTAATCTTACATGACTGCTGTAGTCTGGCTGGTGAGACGGCTCAATGGGTAAAAGTACTGGTCATCCAACAATCTAGGACTGATGACCTGGAACAACCATGAAAGTGCAGAGTATGGACTCCAAAGTTGATCTCTGGCTTCCACTTCCATACTGTGGCAGAATGTGTACCCCAGTGCCTCATACACGTGGATAACAGAAAAAATAAAAAAGTGTTTGCTATTTTCCAAAAATAATATAACTTCCAGGTCAATAAAACCATGATGGCATTCTTATTTTAAAACATTTAACACCTGGGTCAAAACAAAAAACCAACAAAATTTAGGAAGCAGAGCCCTCCTTATCCTCTACCGGACTCTAATAGTGGTCCTGAGCACCAGGCCACCAGGAGAAACAGACTGGCAGCAAGCGCCCAATCATCTTCCCACCTGTGATAGATGGCCTTGTACTGACAGCTTGTTCTGAATTACACTGCTGAATGCAATTCTAAGACACTGATATTCTCTAACTGACCCCAGAAAGTGTCCTGGTACTAAGCAAACACAGATGCAGATTCTGAGTAACATCCCTAAGCTGTTACCATGTTTGTTATGTCTGAAAGCAAGGATGATAAAGCGATCAGAAAAAAGCATAAACAATTAACAAAAGAAAAACCACTATGATCTTAGAAGTGAACATTCAACCAGAGCTTAAAATTTTCTAGTTTATTTCTAATAACCAACACTTGATGCTTGACTCACAGATTTTATTTACATTTGTCTACAGTGTCATTTCCTTATGAAATGAACTAGCACAGCTCAATTAAACCAAATCAAATCATAATAATCTGAACTGTTTGTAAACTCCTATTAGCTAAATTTATAATCTTGTATTTGCCTAGTACAGCCCAAGTGTTAAATACAGAAAGCACAAGAACAAACGAAGGCTAACACGTCGGATCTAGAAGATCTGGGCAACTGAGAAAGTCGACTTTTGAGAAGTCTGAGGCACAATTACAAGAGAGTAAGAGCTCGTGTGCAACCTACAGTAAATGCAGCAAGGAAAATAAGACAAAAAACACAGGAAAGCTTGTAAAAATATTACGAAAATATTTCTACATACGATATTCTGTTTTTATCTTTAGATCAATTGAGGTGAAAAACACTTTAAAATAAAAACATTTTGTTTGATCTGTCTCTAAACATCTAAGAATGCTTTACTTATTTAAACTGCAGCAGACAATACTAAGGGAGAAACAGGAACCACAATTCCTGTAACAAGGAGCTCCAGCACAGCTGCTGGTCCCTTGTATACTTACCTTGTTTTGCTGCGGGAGAGACTGTTAGGAGAAACCTTTCAATTTTTAAACCAGAGAACAAAATGGATCTCAAGTGACCAGATTTTAATTTTAGAAATAAAACTCTGAAAGCATTTTAAGCCATATGTTTTTTCAGGTGAGAAAAAAAAACTTTCCTTAAATCATGCAGAAAAATAAGGATTCTGTTACTTAGATATCTACAGTGTTGGAAAAAAATCAGACATTTCAAGGCAAATCACTTAAATTCGCGTCTCTGTCAGCCTGTCACTGAGAAATAGGCTTCAAAAGCTTTCTTCAATTTGCTCATTAACTATGATTTGGCCTTTTTTAAACCTTTATCAATCAAGCACAATGTTTGTTAACTAGATTTTAAAAACATTCCTATTTCTTAAACTTTTATTTCAGAGACATTTTGAATCAGGATGGCTAACCTACTCCTCTGCGAGTGCTAGCATCTATCCTCTTGCGTTAGAAGTGGTGTAGAGCTGATGAGATAAGGATTCTAAGGCACCCTCAGTAGAGAGAACTCAAAGTTCCCGGTTGTCAGCTTTGTGATGTAGTTAATTTCTGGTAAGAAATTACTGGCACAAGTAAACAACATAACCAGGTTGACCACTCCTCCCATACGAACATGAATTGGTTATTCCAACAAGTTTATTAGCCTTGCCCACGTGTCTGGAGTCCAGGCAAGCCTAGGCAACCCTGTCTCAGTCAATAGGACATTTAGAAATGAAAAGGACAAAGAAACCAAGGACTCAGTTACAGCTGTCTTTAAACGAAGCGAATGGTTGTAATAATGAATAGAGAGCATTTGACTAGGGAACAGTATGGCTTAAAATGCAATTTACTTCAATTTCACAAATAAACACAGTTGTACTGTTTTGAAAAGCAATAAAGGCATGCACCTCTACTAGCAAATGTAGTAGCACTTCTGACCAAATGAGACATCAACTTCCTAAAAAATATGCTTCATGCACTGTAGTCAATGTTTTTAAAGATGTAAATTTTAATACATTATTTCTTTTTTGAACTTGAACGGGAACCAGAATGGGTTGATCCAGAAGACGACCTGTGGTGCCTGAAAGACACAAGAGAGCAGCACAATCTGTAAACAGCACTGAGCAGCGCAAACACCAGAAAAGAGCAGAGCAAACACTAGGTATCTCGATGCTGGCAGGAGTAATTAAACCTAGGACGGCTGATATACACTTTTGGATGTGAGCCCAGAATTGATGTGATTTTAACTCAAAACTCTCTACAAGTTAAGAATAAACACTCATTTCAAATATAGCCACCTCTCAATTATTCCAGGAACGAAGGGGAAGCCCTGAAAAAAGCCTGCAATCATATGGAAAGGTGTATAATAAAATCACACCAGGTTTCTATGCACACAGCAGGTTTCTGGTGTATGAGAAGGTACACTCAAAGCAGTGAGGTTTTGGAAGTCTAGATCACATAAGGTGACTGTAGAGTTAGCTAAGTGCTAGAGTCATGCAGCCAATATGAGTAAGTCAGTATCAACCTGGGCAAAGTGGTGGTGGTCCGCAGGGGCTGGCCCTGGGCTCAGGGTTGTTTAATGTTTTCACCAATCACCTGGCTTATGGAATAGAGAACATGTGAATTAAGTTTAGATGACAACAATGGGGGTTTATATGTGGCTAAGATAAAAATTTGCAGAAGTGGTAAGAAGGCATCAGAATGAATTTCACTTAAGTACACAGTAATTTTCTTATAAAGAAACAATCAATGTACAGAAAGAAGACTGGGCATAATCTTGAAGTCCAGGTATCAAGGATATCTAACTCTTTGAGAGCAGGAATAACATGATCCCTACCCACTGACCCTGGCCGTCACCAGACTCTATTGACCATTCTTTTCTTTCACAAGCTGAGAAGACATGGAAAATTTGCTAAGATTACAAATGCAGCTACAAATCATAAGATATTGAGAACCAAGAGAAAATTAGTGAAACCGAGTAATCAACTCTGTTGCAGGCTGACTATGCGCATGACAAGTGCATTGTAGGTAAGGCACCCAGTGAAAGTCCTTTTCAAAAGAGAAAAAATAGATCTGGACGGCAAGAAGAAAGAGGTGCTAACTACAAGAAATAATTTCCAAGGGCATAAGAGTCACTTGCTATGGAAACACACTTATATGTATTTAAATGAGGATAGATTCCAATGATCTTGCAATTTAATCCTGATTAGGTCCTCTAGAATCCCTACCACTTTGAGTATTTAATTTAAAAAACAAACACATATAAGTTATTTCAACACACAGTTTTTGGATTTCAATCTTTGAGAACACAAAAATAACCGAGAGTTGGCTATAATAATATATACATGGAAATAAAAATTCAAACAATAAAATGCTCAGCGAATAGTCTGTCCCATAAGTTTTTCTAAAGTTAAAAACAAGCTAAACAAAGCAATTTGATTTCTGAAGTTTAAAGATGAAAAATATAATTTAAAGAACAAAGGAGAAAGAAACCTAACCCTTGCTTAGAAAGTCCATCTACTCAATACACGTAAGAACACCCATTCTTATGCTACAGAAACCCAAACCTTTCGGGTGACCGTGATCTCGTTCGTCTTTTTTTGCGAACGGCGGGTGAAGAAGGTCTAGAGCGACTCCTCTTCCTGTCTCTCTCAGGAGATGATGAAGAACTCGAGTAAGATCTTTTTCTTGGGGAGGAAGAGCCCCTGTGGGACCTGGAGCTGGATCTTCATTGATTGAGAGACAAAGCAGACGTTTCATTAAGGGCAGAAGTGCAGACTGTCCAGTTCCCAAAAGCAAACAGGACTGTGACTATGAGAGCTTTGTAAGAAGGAATACTTACTGCTTACTCAGCAGAAGACTTCTGGGTCAACCTTCAACATGTTCTATTTATGCACAACCATTTTATCTTTAAAAAAATTCTAAATATTTACCCCTTGTAATTAAAAAGCAGCTTACGGAATTATGACAGAGTAATTTTATAACTGCTTATAGCTCTACAACTTAAAGTATATAATTAGTGAAATCAAGACATAACTTCAATTCTGCGACTTCATGGTCAGAAATTAGATCCTTCCATTCTGGGAAAATCCACACTATGTAAAATCTACTGAGGACAATGAACTTAACTTCTTACAGGTAAGGTGCAGCAGAGAACCCAGGGACACAGCCCAGAAAGACAGAACAGTATGTTGTAAGTAGTCAAAGAAAATGGCAGCTTTAAAACTTGGTTTGTGCTTAGATCTGTGCTATGAAACATGAAGTTGTGACATTCACGTTTTAGGTGGAAGTAGATGTAAAAATTTTTAAATGCAAATCTATCTTCATTTACATATTGTGGTTGAAGGAATTTAGCTCAAACTTCCCAAAAAATTCACCTTTGGGCTTAAAATAAAATGAGAAAGCCCAAAAGGAGAATTCTTTGGAAAGTTGTAAGCAATTACAATGTTTGGGAAGGGTATGGAGGGACCCACCGAGACTCAAGGGTCTGAAGGAAGCCCCGACATGTCGACACATAGGAAAGCACCTTTGCTCTACTGTACTGGCTCAGTGAGGGCACGCACCACTCTCCTCCTCAGTGGGACTCAACGGTAGTTGCCCTCAAACGCTAGAATGGACTCAAGTAAGTGAACCTTTCTCCAGAAGAGCTGTTAGGAAACTTCAATGTGAATTCCCACAAGTGGGATTTTAGAGGCTTTCGTGTTAATGCTGCGTGCCTGCAGTAGACAACAATACAGTGACTTAACATAAAGGCAGCATATTTTGATGAAGTACAGAAAATGTTTTCAAGAAAGCAAAAAACTAGCGTTTCAATTGCTGCTTTACCAATCACTTCCCTTTGATATCTGAACAAACACAACTGAAATGTTTACAGCACGGCTTATATCACATATGAGCTAACATCCTATTTGACTTGAGTTTTAAGAGGGATGATTGTTACATAGATAACTTATAACAGTCTTTAAAGTCAGGGAGACACTCAGTAGAAACTGAGATAAAAATGGCAAAGCTGTTTCTGTAAACAGCCGCCTGTAAAAAAATCTATTCTGAAAACTGCATACTGGACTGGTCTTCCTTTTTTGTTTTGGCAATAATGCATCATTTGTATGTCAAATTTAATTAACGACTGCAAACATAATCTTACTACACTAGCTACCTGGTGGAGTAACTTGGCCTCACCTCCCCACATTACACATCTTGGCTATGAATGTCCTGGCACACACTGTGAGGTGAGACTGAGCCCAGGCAAAGGCACCAGCTTCCTAGTGCTAAAATACAACTGCAAATAGAAGCCGTGATGAGGGAAAGCAGCAGAGCCTTTGGGAGCCTTAAGTACTTTCCTCTCTGCCTTACAGAGAGGGGCTACCTCATTCACCTTGATTTCGAACCACGGGATCTGGAATGTTCTCTGGAACCGGAGTGAGACCTTGACTGCGAGCTGGAAGAGCTTCTTGAACGGGACCTGGAACAACACGGAAGCATTTTTTTCCCTAGGACCACATTTTTGAGCTCTGTGATATGAACACTGAAAAAAAGACATATTAAAAGTGCATTTTTCACATAAAAGATATCTATGCAAGATATTTTTCCAAGCAAAATACTCAAAACAAGGTTTCTTATAATAAAGATTAAGCTTAAAACAAAACACAGTGCTGACTTTCTGCACCAGATTAAATCTAAGGCTCCTAGACCGTAAGCAAATGAGCAGCACGGGTTCACAATGCTACAGTTCACACTGAAGTTCTCCAGTGCTCAGAGGCCGGAAACACTACTGCTGCAGCACACCTTTGACGGCTACTCTTCACCTGTTTGTCTTAGAGAATTAAAGATAACAAACCTAGCAGTGCTCTACATTAATTGCATTACTGGCAAGAGCGTAGCCCAGGAAATATAAGATTTATAGTCTGAAAACCACAAGTGACATCTCTGACACCATCTTTAGTTTGTCCCCACAAATGGGAACTGTCACACTTTTATCTCAAAATTATTCTGTTTTAAGGAAAGGGAGGGATTTGAGTTGAGCCTAGGGCCCCATACATGCTGATGTATATTCCCCAGCCTTCAAAATTACTCAAATGATATTGTTAGGCTGTACAGTACTAATTTAAGTAGTTGGTAACACATTTTATTCTTACATATGTTTAAAAATAATTAGCCATTAATTCTGAACTGTATAATACACTATTTTTTAATTACTAAATACATATTTACAACAACTTAACATCCTGCTTTAATTTCTGGTTACTTGAGAAGCATTAAGTACCCAATGGCTAGATTTCTTCCTTTATTCAGAAGAATACCAAAATAAATTATCAGAAATTTTGCAAGTGTCATTAATGGCCAGATATCTCCAGCTAAACCTCTAACATACTGAAACAAATATCCACTTGATAATGTCTGAACATATGCTATCTACTTAAGTATATATCACTTACACAGTGCTTTTGAAATTAAGTTATTCTAGTCAAAGCCAAGAGGGTGACACAGAACAAGCAACTTCTAAGGTTTGAAATTTCTGAAAATACAGGGCAGTATCTGTAGGGTACAAAGATAAAGTCTAGCTAAGGTGACTTGACTGAAATATTTAAAATAAAAGGCGTATTTAAGTAAAATAAGGTTTATAAGTAGAAAGTTAGATACTGACATTTTGACTGGTGTTACCCTTGGCCTGCACCCGTTTACCTGGACCTGGACCTTGAACTTGAGGGGGAGGATGAGCGTGATGAAGATCTCGAGTGAGAAGACCGAGACTTTGAGCGACTCCGCCTATTGGCTTTCTTTTTGTTACTGTCTTCTTCTTCACTGGCATCAAGATTATATTTTGAGAGATCAGCATCATCTTCATCCTCATCCTAATAAAATTTTAATTCTATTTAGATATTTACATATTGATGATACCCACCAAAATAGATGAATCTTCATTATACAGGACATTATCAGATGGATCTGTTACCAAATGCTGCAATGTAAACTTGTTTTCCATCTGAGGGTTCACCTACTAAACTCATTTGATAGAACTGACTTGAGAACTGGGCAGACAGCCTAGGCAAGATCCTAGAAGCTACCCCACTGGCTCTCAGAACATATAACAAACTGTCAGCAATTTTTAATTTTGGCTTGAGTTCTTGGTCCACCACTACCAGCCTTAGTCTGGAACACCATTTTCTCATCTCTCTGCTACAATAACAATTTGCTTGGTTCTGTGCCACTAACACTTCAAGGTGCTAATCACATTGAAAAATAGGCACCCACTCTTCCATCAGCTTGGCTTAAAAGACTAAAAAAGATTTAATATATAATAAAGAGATAGACACGAACCATTTGTTTCTTAAAACACAAAACCCTTACATTCTAAGGTCTGGACTTAAGATAGCTGGACCATAAACTCATACTATGGTGCACTCCTTAACTCTTTACCTCAAGACCCCCCCCCCCCCCCCAACCCCGACCCAAGCAAGATAGTGCTGCAATGGTCCAGGTGTCACAAGAGGTACCCTGAGCTTCAGAACAGTTCCAGTACGATAAAGGGGAATGAGGGCAGGGTCATTACCTCATCCAGCTTATACTTAGACAGATCTTCATCCTCATCCTCTTCTTCTCCCTCTGATTCTTTATCTTCAACTTCCTTTAATATAGATGCAGGACCAACTGCCTTCCCCCTGTATTTTTTCTTTTTACGTCCAAACTAGAGAAAAACAAATAAAAAATATTTCTTTAGGCTGAAACACATGAAAATCATTTTATTTTCTAACACTATTTGTGTCCATCTGGAGAGACAGATATTGAAATTTGAGCCTGTAAGCCCCTGCACTTGCAGGTGGGGATGGAGGATCCCTTACTGGCCAGCCAGTTCTAGGTTCAATGAGAGAACCTGTCTCCAAAAACAAGGTAAAGATACCAACAGAGAAAGGCCTCCAGTATCAATCTACAGCTTCGACAGATGCACAAGTAAGGGCACATACACGGCTACTACAATGCACTCGTGCACACACACATAGCTCTTCTGAATTCCAGGTTATTCTATTCATTTTTTATCATTTCTCTAACATAAAATGTAGTTTGTATACATCTATTGAGAGCTTACCTCATCATATTCCCCATCAGATTCTTCTCTTTCTATATATTCAACATTTTCTCTTTCATTAAAACCACCTCCATATCCTTTAAAAAGAGGGCACAAATTGCTGTAACAACTCAAATAACAAAATTTGTATGCTCATACTATTCCCAACTAACAGAAAATGAAAAACTAATCAATGGTAGTTCTTTATGTAAATAATAATTAGTAATCTTTTACAAGTTAAAAATCCTGATAGAGAATAAGCCAGATCTACTTTAGTTGTGACAGGTCACTCATGAAAAATATATGCAGAATATCTGCTATGACAAAGTTTTAGACAGAGTTTCCTCTCCAGTATAACTCTTCTCATAAGAACCAGGATTAAACTCAGTATTTATCTGACAATGCAGACTTTGAAGGTAGGGTTAAGATGAACCATCCAACCAAGGGGCACATCCTGATGTGGGCAGCACTAATCACAAGATACAAAACTCTTCAAGAGACCAGGTCTTAGGGGGAAATCACAAACCCAGCTGGGATATAATGAATTGACAATTACACAACAATGTAAAATAAGTAGCTTTTATAGGAAGGTCAAAAATATCACATCTGGAAAAAAGTCTAGGTATTACAGTTCATCTATTGTTACTTAAGACTTTGGCTTCAGAAGAAAACAAAGCCAAGAGAGAGGGCCCAAGGTAGATCTTTAAGGTGGAACACAGAATATAGCGAGAAACACAGAGCACTGAGAGGAAGGAGATAAAGTAGAACTTGCAGAAGGCAAAGCTGCCCCTGGAAGTTAAGACGTAGAAGCCCAGGAAAGAAGAAAAAACCACGGAGAATGTTATGTATTAAGTGTCTTACATATTAAGAATTAAAAACAAATAAGCAAGCAAGGAAAGTGGGGAAAGAAAAGCTGGAAGGACTAGATTAAAAAAAAAAAAAAAACTGATCTACCATTAGGCCCCTGATCCCCAGAAACCAAACAGGGGCAGTGGTGTGAAATTAGTGAGAAAGGCAAACAAGGGAACAGTTTTGCTGAGTATGAGCACTGTCTGTGACACAATCACATCGCAAGGAGATAACAGTTAACTGCTGGCAATGGCAAATAACACTCTGCCAGAGGTTCACCATCAACACACAGAAACAACAGTAGCCAACAATTGGCAAAAACCATCTACACAATGACGAGGCTTTGGGACCCGTTCCCCCAAGTCCAATAGCTGACACAAGTATAAAGAGTTTATGATGTTCACACAAAAGGCCAGAGACTTGAGTCACAGGACACGGAGCTATCAAACTGGTGCTGATCTGAAAGTTTTATTCTTACCGGCTAATTTCATAGTGGCAGAAGTTCCTACACTCACTATCCAAGGAAGAAAAATAACCAACAGTCTTACTCAGCTGCAAACCCTGCTAGTCATGAGAGGCTTTTCCAGATATGCCCCGTGGTGGAATAGTAACACAATGTTATGGGGACCATGGTCTGATAGGATTCACAGTTCTCTCTAGCAGACAAGCAAAAAACCCATGGCTGAGTAGGTCATAGGACCTGGGGGGAGCCTGGTACAATTACTCTGCTATATGGACAAGAGAACATGTGGAGGGCTTCCCTTTGAGCGGCACATACCACATCCTTCCCCCTAAGGCTCAGTGATCACCAAAGGGGGATGGAAAGACTAAGTGCCAAAGGGAATGCAGCACAGGGTAGCAGAACAGTTATTTGATGGATCCAGCTGCACAGCTGAACTATGGACTCACAGTGGCTGTGACTGTGGACACACTTTCACAAGATCAAGCCGCCCAAGTCCAGCACGGATTGGGAAGGGGCTGTTACTGCTGGCTGCTAGGAAACAAGGGCCCACTGGGCATCACCCATGCTCCAGGAGACCCATATACACACAGTCAAGCACTAACGGTGCTCAGTGGTTTAAAAAGGAAAGAAAGAGCACATAAAGCTGAGGAGTTAGGAGATGAACTGGAGGTGAGGGAATGTCTGGCCTGTGAATTCCATCAAAACACAAAGGCACATGTGAAACTTGCAAACAAAACCCCAACAACAACAAAAAAGAATTGACATCTTATGCTCTGTAACTTGTAGTTTTAAAGTTTTTCTGGTAAGTAAGGACCACCATCAACAAGAATGCACGGGCCACCCTGAGCAGCATCAGACACATGATCCGAAAGAACAAGTACCGCCCCGATCTGCGCATGGCGGCCATCCGCAGGGCCAGTGCCATCCTACGAAGCCAAAAGCCTGTGGTGGTGAAGAGGAAACGGACCCGTCCCACCAAGAGCTCCTGAGCCCTACACCCCAGAAGCAATAAAGAGTCTACTGACTTTTTTCAACCATCAAAAAAAAAAAAAAAAAAAAAAAAGAAATGTGACGAAGACTATGAATAACCTTTTAAGTTTTACAGGATGCCTTTAAAGGTGTCCTTTACCTATCTGTCACACTAGGACACATCTAAGCTAGGAGAGGGAGGCAGAAAAGCATTTCTGAGTACCCTACGATTCCAAATGCTAGGGCAGGCTGCCTAACACTATTTCATAAACCCAATGAATAAACCAGGTGTGGTGGTTCATGCTGGTAATAGTAGCACACAGGAGCGTGAGGCCAAAGCTATTCCTGGTTATACACTATGTCTGAGCCCAGCTAAGGCTACATAAACAGAACACACACACAAAACAAACCAAAGAGAAGACAGATTCCTTTTTCTCCCGTGCTCTCTTGAGAAGGTAGTAATCTCCTTTAGAAACTGCAATTAGAACGTGGCTCTATTTACCTGTTCTTTCTTCTAGCTTAGCATACTTTGGAGTATTACACATGTTACACTCCGATCTTCTGGCCCAATTCACATTACTGCAACTACAATTGTAAAAAAAAAAAAAATCACATCAGAAGGCTCCCAAACATTGAAGAAATATTATTAAAAGAAATATTATTCAAAAACTCTTTGGTGAAATAACTAGTACCAAGCAATGTTCATAAGAAGTAATGAAAATTAAAACACAACATTGTTCTAGAGAACATGGATTCCCAGAAAGCCTGAAGTATGTAGGCAGAGAACAAAATCTATTCAATATAAACAATAGTTGGAGAAGTGACATAACTGGAGATTTGGCTACCTAGGGGAAAAACACTACTTTAATTAAAGATGCTATTAGTTATCATCTCTGAACCCACCTTTTAAATATGGCTACCGTTCTTATTCCCCTCTAAGGACCCCTTTGCAGTACACTAAATCCACTGACTTACATTTGTTGCTGAACAATTTACTTGCATAGATTCAAAGTCTATCTATAGGACCAGCGCTTTATCTAAGATGCTTTTCTGGTCTGGTGCTTTTTCATATATGAAGGATTTATCTATATTCTATAAAATGTGGAGACTGGAAAAAAATCCATACAAAATGAAATCTAAATTTGAAAGACAAAAATATTAAGAAACTTAACAAGAAACATTTTTCATGGGAGGCAATTTATGCTTGTCAAGTGACTTTCATATTATAAAGAGGCAATTATCACTAACAGGAAGTAGACTACTCGGTGCTGTCAATGTCCCCATCCCTTTGGTTATCAGCTCATAAACACTCCATCACAGCAACAATTGGTAATACCCCTGAAAGATAAACATTTCCTTTTCACTATACTTAGGATGAAAACCAATAAAGTTGTGGCTGAAAAGGATACACTGTCTTGTCATGGAATTAGTAAGAGTTCACCGTATTAAGGAGTGGTGATGGAAGTATCTTTAGTGTGGTAACGGAAATCTGAAGCACATACGTTTTGCATTGCCAGTCATTTGCACTAAACAAGCCCCGGCTCTTCTCTGCCAGTGTCTTTCCTATTTCTGTGCCCCCAGCTTTCATCATCTTGGCCTCAGTTGTTTTCTCTCGACCACATCTGTTACAGCTTGTTCTCCTAGCGAAGTTCACATTTCCGCACCTGCAGATAAAATGAGAAGCACGTAAAGAAGTGATTCCTAAATATTAAAACTGTCTTCACTACACCCTGGAACACAGAACAAGCTTACCCCATCATGTTCATCAGCATCGTTTGAGAGAAACAAGGACTGGATAAAAATCTCAACCTTGTATTTTCAACGACAGTAACCACTTCAGGATTTAAACCTTTCTAACTCCAGACTAGCATGTGTCATTAGCTACATTAAACTCCCCTGTTCCAAAGTGCCATCAGACTCTTCCTCAACAACTAAGGCACCAGAGATGGAAAAAGAACACCGAATCAACTCTCAGTTAAAGCTGTGATGAACTTTAGAAGCACAATCCTAGGGACAGACCCACCAGGAAACAACAGGTACAGAGGGGCTCCGGAGAACTGATGAAATGTCCTTTCAGAGATAGGATGTGGGATGATAAGAGAAAACATAGGCTATGTTGACTAAAAGTATACATTAAACAGTAAAGAAATTTGAGTAGTATAGTGTTTATCAAACCTAAAACATATCGGAAACCAAATCAAACCACAACCAATGAAGTCAAACCTTATATTAAACACTAAAGGTTTTATATTTTATGTACTTACAAGACCTTACTGATTACCAGTTAATGCATGTGAGATGCTCCAAATAGCATTTAATGTTTAATTAAGAAATACAAGGGACCACCCGATTTAAAAAAAATGAATGTCAATAGAAGTGTAACACTAAACTGAACGACACCATCCAACTTTTAGGTTGCTTTTCTGTTAAAAAAAAAATACACAAGATCCAAGTAACCCTAAAAATATGTTCTGAAAAAAATGTTTCCCTGACATATATTCAGTAGAACATTTTGTTTCTGTCAATGAGTTTAGGTGCACAGGACTACGAACGAAGTGTCCTCCCGAAATATCTGGGCTGGGTTTTCAGTAAGAACACAGAGAGCACATTTTCTACAAGTCACGGAAGGCACCAAGTCAGAGGCTGGTGTCCTGATCTCTGAATGGTTCCAAAGTGTCACACCGTTCCCTGCAATGTCCAAGAGGACCTCGGTTCTACTCTGCTAGACGGTTATCAATCAGGTGAATGTGAGCGTCGTCATTTCCTTGCTCTCCACTCACACTACCTATGTTATTTCGGTGTTTAACTGTAAACGAGCGGAGGGGCTTCAAGTTAGATGCTCGGCAGCGGAGAGAACTGGCAGGACACCCGGGCTTCCTCCAGCTTTGGCTCTGGCTAAGAGCACGAGCTGGTACATCCCGGAAGATTTCCACCGCCACCAGCCGAGCACTCCGGCTTCACAGCCACGTACGCGCCAGGGCCTCTGCCTCCGGGAAGGAGGGTGCGGGGAAAAAAAAAAAAAAGCCAAAGTCACTGGAAAGGCTCGGCAGGCCCGAGAGCAGCCCCGACTGCTCCCGGGCGGGGACGGAGGGCGCAGCGCAGCGGCCGAGCTCGGAGGAGGGCGACCGAGCGTAGAGCGCCGAGCTCCGGGCGGGGGTCACGTGCGGCCCGCCCGCGACCCGCTCAAAGCCGGCGGCGACCGTCCCGCCGTCTCCCACCCCCACCCAGGCCGTAAGCCCCGCCGCCGCCCTCACGAGGGCAGCCCCCGGCCCCACGCCGCCCCGCCGCGCTCACTTCTTGTCCGGGCAGATCCAGTCCCCGTCACTGACTCGGAAATTCTTGGTCGACATCTTGGACGCCAGCAGCACAGCCGCCCGCAGCGACGTCCCCGACCGGAGCCGCGGGGCCTCGCGTCGGGCTGCCCGCGCGCCGCCGGACCCGCCCTCCTCTGTTGGGAGGGGGGAGACGGGGGTCAGACGACGAAAGCCACCCGGGCCGCGAGCCTGCCGCCGCCGTGAAGAAACGACGCCCGAGACCCCGCCGCTCGGCCCGAGGCTCTGCCCCGAGGAGGCCTCGCCGCGTTCCTGATCAGGCGCTGAGGAGACAGCCTGGCCTGGTAGCCATCGCGGCGTCGCGGGCGCGGCGGAGTGTCCCGTAGACTTAAAAGGACCCCGGAGCGATGCGCTTCCGTTTCCGGGGTGGGGCTAGGGTCGCGGAGGCGGAAGTGACTCGGCGGGGCTCGGAAGCATGGGCTTTGGCGTTGCCTAGGGTTCACTGGGGCGAGCGATAAGGTGGGCGGTTCGAGTCTTTGGAGAAGATATTTTGAGTTTTGAACAGGGTGTGAGACTAGTCTAGGGCGCCCTGGGTTTCACTGTGTCGTCCAGGCCGGCCCCGAACCTCCCTCAATCTTCGTAGACCACGCCATCACACCAGGTGTTTCTCCTGTTAGGTCCAGCTGGCTTCGAAATCTGCGTAGCCAGGCTGCTTAGTATTTTACTAGAAAAGTCGTATTAATAAACGAAAGCAACTCTCTTCTTTGGGATGTTGTTTAAAAACTTAGCTTTTAAAATATGTAATCTGTAAGAAATATGCCTGGCATATATCGGGAGCTATCCGAAGGCTTTTAGAAATAGGACATTGCCCGTAGTGGTAACGATTACCGGTGTCTTCTGATACCACCCCGCTACCCCTCTCTAGTCTTAACGCTGGCCCTTACTTTGAATTTATTCTCTCGCTTTTTAAAAGATTTAGTTCATGTACCGTATGGTTACTTTTTTTTAAAAAAAAATGAGAAATAGGAGTAATTTGCTGTTAGAGAGGTGGTTCGGCATGGTTTCTGAGTCTACAGGTCCTTGCACGTAGCTTACCTTTGTTTCAGTTACACGTACAGCTGCCAGGTCTTTGTGACAGTTAACTCCCCAACCCCACCCACACCTTGTTGCTGTAATTAGCCCTCATGTGAACATTCTTAAGCTAACCCCCAAGCCCTATGTTTTGCCACTGTAATCAGCACGCGTGAACATTCTTAATGCACGAATTCTGCCACTTACATGAGAAAGGTTTTCTAACATGTAGCTTATGTCTAGGAGAAAAACTGTTAAGCTACTTTTTGGTTTTAATGTCTAACACCTTTGATAATTGTAATATCTTGATCATCTCAGTTGAAAACTGTTGGTTATCTTTTTATTTTGACAGTTGTTCACATCTTCCCAGTTATTTTGTATTGTATAATCACTGATTTTTTTCCTGATTTTTTTAATCCTGGGTAATGTGGAATTTTTATTTCCTTTTAGCAAGCAATCCTTGCGTTGGCATCACAGGCTCAGTCTTGCGTGTGAGTACTGGTTCTATATCAGTTGACTCCTCTGAGTATTGCTGTGCTTTAAAAAAAACATTTTTACATGTATGGGTGTTTCGTCTGCATGTATGTCTGTGTAACGCATGCATGCTGGGTGCCCTCAGGTCAGGAGTAGGCGTGAATCCCCTGGAACTGGAGTTACAGAAGGTTCTGAGCTCAGAGCCGTCAGTACTCTGAACCACTCACCGAGCTGTCTCTTCAGCCCGTGCTGTGCTGCTCTCTTGAGTCTGTCCTGTACCTAAGCACTTGGGTTGTTTGGGTACCTTAGCAGTATTTTTAGCTGTAGTTTATTACATGAATCATTCTCATGCTGCTTTGATTTGTTCTGCACACACTCATATATGTGAGTGCATAACTTGAGTGTGAGTGAGTTCATACTAGATTTGGAGAACATGCTTGCCCATCTTTTTTTTTTTTTTTAGATTTTGCTCACATACTCTGTCTTGCAGTGTTATTTTTTATGGTTATTTTGTGAGAAATAAAAGGTTTCCCTTGAAGTTTTGGCAGCTTGTCATAGCTATAGCATTTGACCAGGGTCCTAACATAAGGTGAAGTGGTGAGGGAAAAGAGAAAGGTGTGGGATTTTTTTTTTCCTCCACACTTAAGATGAAGGGTGTGGGATTTTTTTTTTCCTCCACACTTAAGACTACAGAAATTTTCTTTCCTTGCTTTTATACAGAAATATAATTTCTTCTATACTCTCACTCTTTGGATGGGAGGAGAGCTGTGAAGCAGTTTAGTATTTCCTTACAAACTGGTAGCTCACAAATGTGTCTTTCCCCAGTTCTTATGGCTAGAAAAAGATTATTAATTAATTATTACAGATTGTGCCGTTACTACAGACTTACTAGCTGCCAAGTCAGCTACAAGAGAGAAAAGGAAGCAACTGTCAATGAACCCATACCACTAAGTTCCGGCCCTCTCTGCTGCTATTTGCCCATTTTTATTTCCTTCTTGGTGTCCTCAGATAAGGAAGGGCTTTGAGTATTTTATCCAGGTTTTCCTTGTGATCAATGGGAAAGAGAATTAACAGTGGGCCTGCCCCATCCTCTGTTACAAATTAAACCATAATGAGGTGTTAGTACCCATCTATCAAAGTGAACAAAGGAAAGCTCAGGTAGTCCAGGGGTTAGGATGACTAGAGTTCTCATGGACTACAGGCTGTGTGTTCCTTCACATGGTACTCAGGATAGTAACAGTGAGATAGCATGAAGGTGGAGGACATAATCTCTACAGTGTACAGTGTCGCTAAGCTATGGTGTTCAGTCAGTTAGGTATAGTCAATGTGTTTTCAACTTACAATTGGTTTGTTATATGATATTTTCAATCCAGTGAACTTTATGCAACCTCAGAACAAGTCAAGTAGCATTTTTTTCCCCTTCTGGAAAATACTTGTCACACTCTACTAAAATCTGAACAAATGCATGCACTATGACCCTGAAACTCCTCAGGGTGTTCCCTAAGCCCTACAAATGTTTATACTGAAGATGCAAGTAACAGTGTTCGTAACTTCATTATTCATGATGTTCCCAGTTGGAAGTTTTCTGCTGTTCTAATGGTAGCCAGAGTAAAGAAATAATCATACAGTTGTTTAGTGAACTACAACATGCAGCAGTAAGAGTGACATTGAAGCCACATTGAACACTGATTGTCACCCGAAATACAACATTGAAATGGTAAATCCAGACACAAAATGGAAAAGTCTATATCATTCCATTTATGTTAAGTTCAGTAACTTCAGAGTTAGTCTCCTACAGCGCTTACCATTGAGAACTGGAGATAGTGACTGGGGCTAGTAAAATGGCATGTAGTTACTGGAATAAAGGAGGGAATGTAGCTGGTAAAGCTGTGGGAGAGTCAAATCAGCAGAAAAGTGGAGGTGGATTTTTCTGCCCCTCGTGCCAGCTCCCAGATCACAACATGAGACCTTGTTAATTATAAACGTTCACCCAATAGCTTAGGCTTGTAACTAACTAGCTCTTACAATGTAATTCATTTTTATCAATCTTCTTTTTGTCTTGTGGCTTTATTACCTTACTCTGTCCTGCCCACTCTGCTTCCTTTTCATCTGGCTGGCGACTCCCCCCTTCGTCTTTCCAGTGTCCTGTGTGTCTGAAAATCCTGCCTAACTGTTGGCTGTTTAGTTTTCTATTAAACCAATGAGAACGACACATCTTCACAGTGTACAAAAAGATTACTCCACAACAGAAGAGTCCTTTACAGTGAGTCTGGGATAGAATAAGTACAGTTGAAATGTAGGTCTGCCAGTAACCGCAGCAGGTGAGTTCAAAGACCATAGGGGGCTTTTCAGGGAGGGCCATTCCTAGAATAGAGTGAATTTCTTTGTATTAACGTGAAAGGAAAACCCAACTACCCATTATTTTTATTCTAATTTTTTGATTAGTAATTTTGTCCCATCTCCTGGGTACACTTGACCTATCATGGTCAAACATTCAGAGTGAATTATTCATGCAAGTTACTCATACATGAAACTATACTTATTGATTGATAAATATTCATGCAGACAAGCAAATCTTGGTCCCTAAGAGGTTAATCAGGTATGGTGGACACATCTGAGATTGTGAACTTACATAATAAAAAAATCTGTCTTTATTTACTTTGTTAGGGCTTTCTCTACTTGCCAAGAACCAACATCAGAATATACCCTTTAACCCCTGCCCCCAAAGCCAAACCAAAGCAGACAAAAGAGCTGGGGAGGTGTGTTGTAAAAGGTAATCTCGTGGAATGTTGGGGCAGAAGTATCACTCAGGTCTGAAAAGGGCTAAGAGAAGCTCCTGTGTTTCAATAGCACATTCATCTAAGACAACTGTTTCCGTCCTTAGTTTACAGGATTCTCAGGCTGCACTACGATGCTTAGACCTGAGCAAGCAGGCTTTTAGCTTGTCCTGACCCCATGTGCGCTTTGGAAAACCTTCCTTGTAGAGATCCCGGTCTCCTGTGTCTTGGGCCACACTAAACTTGGTCCTGTGTGGCTCCTATGTGATAGGAATCCTGGTGTCTTTCATTACCCATGGTGATAGTGATGGGGCACTTAGGTTGTGAGGTTCTCCGGATGGTCTCTTGTGTATGGTTCCAGCAGAAGGTCCATAAGCTCTGGGGCTGGCTTCTGTGAGGTGAACTAGCGACCCATGTCCATGGCATGCCCTGGAAGGAGGCTTGATTAAAATTCTCACTGACCAGGGCAGAAGTTTTTTTTTATTTGATGGGATCATACAAGTTTGGACCACTGAAATGGTGCTGATTGACTGGTTGATAAGTGATATATTAAGAGGAGTGTATAGTGGGCAGGCCACAATACACTTTCTGTGAAACACGATTAATAAAAACTCAGAGGCTGATATCGGGGTTCAACCTGAAGATCCAAAAAGCAAAACAGCCAGCCACTGGCTCTTACTTCAACCTTAGTCCCAAATGGTGATCCTGCCTCCAGTAATCTCAGAAGGAGACTGTGAGTGAAAGCTGTCTCCTCCTGTTTTACAGTCCTCTCTAGGTCTTAGATTAAAGGCGTGCACCACAGTTTCAATGGCAGACTAGTGTGGCTATTGGGATTAAAGGTGTGTGTCACATTGCCTGGTCTGTAAGGCTGACCAGTGGGGCTGTTTTACTCTGATCCTCAGGCAAGCTTTATTTATTAAAATACAAATGATCTTTGGAC